TGCCAAAATGCACCTTAAAATACAAATGTACAAATATATTTTATGCTAAATAAACAGCTTGAAACTAATATACAAACACAAAAGGAAAATTTAACAGCAAAACTGTTCCTCTTCATTCACATAAACAGGTCATCACCAGAGGAAATCTGCATTTAAAAACTGACAACTGGCTTGTGCTGTGGAAATACAAGAACCAGTTAGATAGTTTTCTTTGAAGAATGCATATGAGGCTTGCAGTTTAAGCAGTGTAAAGACAGCACATGCCATTCAGACTTTCAGCTGTAACTGTCACATTGTTGTAGTATTGTGTCAGATTTAGATTGATGTGCATTTCTTTTAAGATTACAGTTAATGAAACATTTACTAAGATGCACGCTAAGGGACTATATGAAATCATGGAGCACTGATTATTTTATAAGGATTTTAATTGTAATTTTTTTGTTTTTTATTCTGTTTCCAGCAGGTGAAAACTACAAGAGCCAAAAAGGTCATGAGAGAAATTCTGACAGTAGTCAGTGAAAACCGAGACAAGATGAAACACAGTGGTACAGGAAAAATGGATATACCATTAAACACAAATGTAAGGAGGAAAACTTGGGCTGGGAGTGAGAGCACTAAAGGAAAAGAAAACAGTTTTGCCATTTGTGAGTCTTGTAAGGCCTTGATACATGACAGCAACCAGTCTAACAATCCAGCATGGAATAGAAGAGAAATGGCTGAACTAACTAATTTGTCAAGAAACGATGTTCCACAACAGTATGAAATGAAGGGAAAGAAAAGAAAAAAGACAAAAAAAACAGGCTCTGATTTACTCCCTCATGGTAAACACAAGGAAAGTGAAACAAAAAAGGCAAAAGGCTTACTTTCAGAACCGATGTTTGATCAAGATCAGTCAATTCCTCATGTTAAACACAAGCAAACACAGACAGAAATAACAGGAAGCTTCCTTTCTAACACTCCAGGTGATGGGCTGAAATTTAATCACATCAGAAGAGTTCCAAAATCAAGCCACTCTAAATATCCTCCTTCCTGCTCCCTCTCTATGACCTCTTTTGTGGACGAATCAGCAGCAGGTAGCAGCACTGCAAGTCCTGAGAGTGAAGAATTCGTGACACACAGTATTATGAAGTCTGAAACCATGCCAGACGATTATAAACTTCGAGGAACATCTGGATCTAGTGGGCTGTCCAGCAGATCCTGCCTCTTGCCTTGTTCTCACAGCATGGTCTCACTGAGCAAAATACCCCGTGCAAAGAACAACTTTACACAAGTAAACAGCTCACCTGATATGCTGTTAAATGAGTTTACACCAGTTATCACTGATGATTTTGATGATGAAAACTACACGTTCCAGTGCTCCTGTCCAGGCCTGTACCAGTGCAGTGTGACCGGCCTGGTGTTTTTCATGAAGGCAGAAGGAGACGTGGTTTACAGGACTGTCCCTTGGAACAGGAGGCTGCTGGCCCAACACCACAAGAAGCCTGCAGGACCCCTGTTTGACATCAAATGTCAGCAGCAGTCTGTGTGTCAGCTTTGTCTCCCACACTGTGAGCTCATCTCCACAGGTGGAGGTCAGTTCTTGCAGGTCGCTCATGTGAAGGATGAGGGCATCGAGTTTATTACCCCTCACAAGATAACAGAAAGTCACGTTGTTATAAACCTCACAGGGTTTTCTGGTTACGGTATTGTCAGTCATAAAGACTCTCCTCCCGACCCAGTCCAAGCTTTGGTTCTGCTCTTCTACAAACCCCCAGCTGAGCCTGATCTCAGCTCTAAGCTCAGTGTGTTGTTGCTTCCAAGGAACATCGTGATCCGTGATGTACAGCGCACCAGGAGGAAACTAATTGGGGATGAGAGGTACATAGACACTTCTCCTCACTGCAAACTGCATCCAAAGCAGGTTTACACTCTGTCCACTGTTCCTGAGGATGATCTGATTACAGTTGAACCAAATGACGCTGATTTTGATGATGAGTACTACGACAGTTACTTTACGACATTCCTTGTGTCTTTAGGAAGAATCCTCACAGATGTTGACCTCAGTCTGAAAGATGAGAGCAGCTCCACCTGTGTTTGGGAAAGAAAATTGTGTCTTTTCTCCCCTACAGTGGGAACTTTGAATCATCCTCCTTCTGAGAGGCTTTTAAACACACGAAGCTGCTTCATTGAAGGGATATCAGAACCTAATCTCAGCAGCCTGATCGACAAACTGCTGGAGAAAAAGGTGATAACTGATGCAGAGAGGGAGGCAGCGGATGCGAAGCAAGACAAAAGGGAAAAGGCTCGTTTTGTTATCGACACTGTGAGGAATAAAGGTGATGCTGCCAGTTCAGAGTTTATTAACTTTGTCCGTGAGCTTGACAAAAAAATTTGCGGGCATCTCGGTTTAAACTGAACAGATATTCTATGACTTTGTTTTTGCAGAACTCGTGGGGAGAAAGTGAAGCAATTACCTGTATGTTTGTGTGTGTATATAGGGTCAGCAGGGAAAAGGCTGGGAAAAATCCAAAAACAGTATGTTGGTCTTAAAAGTATCTGATAAAACACTTTAAATATATACTGTCAGTCAATAGTTTTGACAGCCTCATTTAATGGTGTTTCTCTAGTTTTACTACTTTCTACATTGTGGGTACAAACTGAAGACATCTGATATTTTTAAGCAAAATTTCTATAACATAAAAAGGGCAAATTGGCCAGTGTGAACACAGTACTGTGCATTAATATTGATTTAAAAAAACAAATGTGTGGTTACTACTTCAATTAGAATTTTAAACATGCTTTTGTGCGATGCATCTATTTTTAGTTATGTTTTGTTTTCTAAGAATATAATAAAATGAATGGGAAAAGTAAATAAAAACAATGCACATTACGACCAGTTTCAGAGTTTAACCCTGTCACTTGTACATTAATTCATAGAAGATAAGATACTTAAAATTTTAAACAATGGTTTTCCAAGTGCATGATTTCAAAGACCTCATCCTTGTTAATTTAAAAATGTTCGTAAAGACAAATTGCATTAGCACGCTTCCTGTAAGAGGACAATGAAAAAGGAGACATAACTGTATTTTATCTTTCCTATTCAGACTTCTCCCCTCAAATATTTGCAAGTATCTTTAAAAGTCTGTAAAATGTGATTCTTTAATGGTGCTAAAGTCTTTTTTTTTTTTATCTTTCTTTGATGAGTGAAGAACACATTTTCCTGTGATTCTGAAATCATACAGTTTCATGAAATATTGCAGCTGCATATATATATTTTTTTATTCTGTGTGTTTTATGAGTGCTGTTTTAAAATTTCGTGATGCTTTTGTATGCTTATGTTATTTTACAGTGACTTCTTGCTTTTAAACTTTGCACTTTGTGTTCTTCTGTTAAGTTGTGACTGTGTGGAATGAACCGGTCAATATAATTCTTTGAAACAATTTGCATTAAATTCAAATTGTATTTGATTCATAACAGTTATATAAAATTTAAAATATTTGTAAACTTTTTTTTTTACTGCAGATCTCACATGTTATTTGTGGCAGGAAGCACAAATTTCTCTGTATGTTTCTGATTTATAAATCCACAAATGTCACATTTGTAAAGACAGCTGAATAATGACAGTGATTTCAACATCCTAGTCTGAGTTTAAATAAAGGGAAACAAACATTAAAGTGTCTTTAATCTGTGTTTGAATCTGTTTCTACAAATCTGACAGAAACTAAACAGCTAGACACATTTACCTTTAAATTCCTGCTTTGTTTTGAAATTATGCAATAATGTGAGTTAGCTTTTAGTCTGCTCTTTAGGGTGTTTTTCAGCATTATATATTCTCACTCTTAATTTTAGATTTTCAGTTTCTAGTTTGCTTTATTAACTATAATAACTTGTCCCCATGGTTATTTAACTTGTTTAAAGTAAAGTGAAACAATTTTTAGCTTCAAGACGGCCTTTAACGAGGTATCAAATTAATTAAATCGACTTGAAAGTGTGTTACAAGATAATTTCCTTTAAACTGTTTGTACCTTCATCAGCCAGCAGGGGGAGGCATTTGCATAATAAGAGTGCTCTTAAACTCACTACAGGTGAAACCTGAAGAAGCCACAGTTTGATATCCTGCACAGAGGAAACCAAATGGTAAATGGCCTGCATTTGTATAGCGCTTTACTCAGTCCCTAAGGACCCCAAAGCGCTTTACACTACATTCAGTCATTCACACACTGGTGATGGCAGCTACATTCTGTCTGATATTGGGCCGCTGTTGTGTTGCTTTGAACGTGTATTTTTTGGTGGTTAAAAAAATGTGATTTATTTGTTTAATAAATAATTTTGACCAGTAAACTCTCCTTGTTTAAACATGCACCATGTGTGGTCTTTCTTTGCTTGTGACTTCTTGATGTTGGTAAATACAATAATTGAAAAATACCACATTACTAATATACATATATACTGTACAACACATTATGGAGTATGCTTCTGCTGTGAGGTCATGCCTCCATGCACTTATGCAATTGACCGCTAGACGGGTATATATTAGGGGTGCAACGATACACAAAATTCACGGTTCGGTTCGGTTCGATACTTTGGTGTCACGGTTCGATATTTTTTCGATACAAAATAAAATGTTCATGCCTTTTTAATTTGTCATTTATTAAAATTATAAATATATATTTTAACTCAAAAGTACAGTTTTAAATTTTTTTTTTAACCCTAACCCTGTTTTTTTTATTTTGACAGCGTCCAATGCGACCTCAGGACCACTTAGTCACCCCTTTTATTTAGCTCGTCATATTTCAGTCCCACAGAAATTATTTTGTCCATGGGTAAACATAAAGTGCACTTTCTTTTTGTCCTTATAGTCTCATTTTGTTCATAACTTCTCCCGTTTTTGGTAAGCTTTTTCTTTGGTCTGTCCACTTCTTTCACCACCTGGTCTTATTTGCTCAGCCAAACTAAAATATATATGCTGCTCTTTACATCACACACTCACATAAGTCTCAGCGATTCTCTGCGCTATCAACCTCTCACATGTTTTAAGCTGTTCTCGGTAGATATTCACTTTCATGTTTTCATAGTTCAACTAAATTATAAGTACAGTCAGAATTGTTTCACAAATTATCATCACTCACAATCATCTGTGCTCTCTATACACAGTTCGCATATTGCAAAGTACAAAAAAACAAGCGCAAATTCAAACGCGATTTCAATATGTCACATATTGACAGTGGCTCACCGATGCCAATGACATAATTACCCAGCTACATTTCTGAAAGAATGCAAAAGCATTGACATATATTTTTCCTTCCTATGACAGCCCGACGGGCAGAGATAGATTTTGGTAGCCCGACTGGAAAAATCGCTAGCCCGACGTCCCGGGGCTTGACAAATTGGTGACCCTGTGTGAGTTTTTTGGCTGCAAGAGGGAGAAAGGAGAATTGGAAAGGCTCGTCACAGATTTGCTGTCAGATACCAGAACTGCAGACAACTCACGCTCACAGAAGGCCTTCAAAATGAAGGTAAGCAGAGCCTGTGTCATTACCGAAATTTAAATGTGAGCAGTGAGCGCTCAAAGTTTTCGCAGTCAAGCTGATAGAGCATCTATATGATATGATATAAAGCACAAAAAATTGAATTACAAGTTGATTATATAAGATTTAAAAAGGAGTTTGTGCAAGGTTTTAAGGTTAAATAAATAAAAATGAATGACAAATTGAACACGGCAGGAGTGGGTGCATAATTTTCATAGAGCTGTTTACATATTCATAAGTCACATTTGGCATCACTGTTTTATCAGAGCTGCAGAAATGCACCGAGGAACTCGGGAGAAAAAATAAGATGAGACATTGCATCTTTTAGATTTTTCAAACAAAGAAAAAAACCATAGAAATTAGTCCACAATGAAAAGTACAAGAAAACTCATGGTAAATAAATACCTGACAGAAAAAACTGATTTCACATTCAATCAGTACAAAACCAAA